TTTTTTCAACTGTGTTTACCTAATCCTTCTAATCATCTAGTAAGAGAGATGTTGTTATCTGTCTTGTGGCAGTGACAGTATTGCCCACCTAATATTTCATTTGTTGTCTTATGTTTTTTGGCTCCCTTGGAGGTAGGAAATGCCAGGTGACTGATTCTTGCCAATAATGAATATGAGGAGGAGTCATGTGTAACCTTCCTGAGACAGTGAGAAGACCATTCTATCATGATTCTTCTCTTGCCAGATGACCTTGGAGGCTTTCTGTTCAAGTGGTGCAGCTACAAACTCATAGGATAGCTAAGGAATACACTTTCATTTGCAGATAAGAAAACAGCATCAGAGAAGAGAAGTGGCAAGCTCAAAGCCTCATGGAGTCATGGTCAGAGATGGGATTCTACTCCTGTTGATCTCATGGGATAGTGAGGACATAGCTAAGCCATCAAAGACTATAAAGTTCTGTATAAAAGATGAAATTTCATGTGTATTTACTAAGGTCTGGTTCAGGGGCTCTGTGCCCCATACTGTGGTGTGGAAGCAAGGCTGTAGAGGTGCCATCACAGACCTGCTGGTCTGGAGGATCTTTTACTATCTCCCAAGTCTCAGGTTCTTGCCTCATGGGAACCACAGAGTATGACCAGCTTTTCTACCAGGTGGGTGAATATTGGCCTGTCCCCGACCCCATGAAACACTTTTTGTTCTAAATGTCACATAATCTAAATTTTTGGAGTCAGTTCGAGTCTGTACTGGCCATTATGTCCCCCTGACCTTGTGTGAGGCCACTATTCATCCAGGCTATGTAGGAACATGTTCTGCATTTCCAAACCTGACTGGAGGTGAAACAGCCTGTCAAAAACAGAACTCAGAGTTTTAGTTTGCTGCTCCTTTTCCACCCTAATTTGCTCCCAACTCTCAGAACAGAAAGGCAAAGTCCAATCAAATGCTTCTCAAATGATGTAAAGTGCGTTTTGGGTAGAAGAAATAGTTCAAGCCAAGGCATGAAGATATCAGAGGACTTTGTGTAGCAAGGACAATAATTATGAATGAATATTTTTAACTTCTTCCTTGATTCTTTGGGGAAGAAATATGACCTGCTTGGTCAGCTCCTGGGCTGACATGTGTTGTAAAGACCTTTGTTGTAATGTCTGAAATAGAGGGAATGTACTAAAGATGGCAAAAGGGTAGGCTGATCTACCCGGTGAAAAATGAATCTGGGGACCTATTGGAGAAGGGTGAGAAATAAAGTCTCAAGAGCTGCAATTGAGAGGAGGTGAAGGAAAGAGTTTTGGATACATGCTATGTATGGGGTATTGAAAGTCACAATGGCAAGGTTTTAAAGATGTTTGTTGTGTATTAAAAATGCACTCCTTGCCAAGTGTGTTGGTGTGCTCCTATAATCTCAGCACTCAGCAGACTGAGGCAATAGGATCAGGAGTTCAAGGCCAGCCTGAGTAATAGTAGTTGCTCATGTTCATCACACACTGACCAGGTGACTAAGAGCTTCACCTATGTTATTTCAGCCATCCTCACAACTCGTTGGTGATAATATCATCTTTATCATAGATGATGGCGGTAAAGTGTGGGCAGGCTGAGTGATTTGCCGAAGTTGATTGCACTTGGGATTGTTGAAGTTTGTATTTGAATTCAGGCAGTGGGAGTTTTACTATCCATCCCAAGAATCAAAGGTATTGTTTTTAAAAGGAGGAATGATTTTGGAGATCACCGCAAGTATTTTCTTATCCTTTTTTGCCTCTTTATCTTCCCTCCTCTTCTTTGGTGAGGTTCTTACCATGGCATTATGTGAATTTATTGGATTTATAATGTGGGTTACAGAGGCAATAGTTTCAGTTACAGAAAATTGGTTTCCTTTTCAAAATGTCATGTATCTCATTTTCTCTCAGCATCTTGTGCTTTTTCAAGCTCCCCTCAGTTCCCAAGTCATTCAGAAGCATGCTTCACAATTAGAATGCAAAAACCCATCACAAACTGACTTGAGTTTTGTTATTTATTCAAAGAAATACTTAAAATGAACCCGGGAGAGGAGAGAAATGAGTGTTAGATGGTGATTGAAAAAAAGAGCAAGTGTGAAGCAGTTGGACATCCCTAGGGATGAGGGCTTCATTCATCCATCAGCAAACCATCCATTCATCTGTTTACCCACCCTTCCAAAAGTATGGATGTCCTCATTCATTCTTCCATCCATCCAAGCGTATAAGTCCTGTACATCTTCCTTCTTTACTTATCCTTCTTTTCCTCTTATTGACTTACTGACCTATTTACTGGCTGTTTGAGTCAATCTTTTAATCAATATCTACTGAGCACACACAGTTTAGGCACTGTGCTAAAGGTGGAGGATACAAAACATGAGTTAAGTTATAGTTATGCCTTTAAGGGACCTCTAGTCTAGACAGAAATGAAAATTGATCCATCACAGTAAGATTCACG